CGTCTGCCATTAGATAGGAGCTTCGTACTCAACTTAGTTTAGCAATCTAGTTATTAAGTTATTACTTCTTTGTTAACAAGTGACGAGTTTACCTCCGAGTAAACAACCCAGCGTATCTGTACTTCTTACCCGCATACCAACCGTCGAAACGATTACCTTTGTCAGACAGTTTGAGTTTCGTCACACCTAAAAGAAAATAAAAGATATATATTAATTACTAAGCCTTAAATAAAGTTACAAAGAAAAATACTTACTCTTTTTTCTAGATCTAGCACTACTTTAACTAGATTAGAGAAGCTAAATTTATATTAAAATCAGATTTACTTTTAAGATTTTACTAAGTTTAATTAAAAGAAAGAGATTAATATAAAATAGCTTTTAATATATAGTAGAAGAAGTTTAAGTACTTAGTAATATTATTTAGACTTATAAATACTTTAGTAACTTTTTAGATAATAATAAATAAGATTCTATAGCTTTTTTTAAAAAATATTATATTATTTACTTTAATAATATTATTATCTTTTTAAATTTTACTAAAAAATATAAAAAGTACTTATAATAGATCCTTAAAATACTTTAGAAAAAAGAGCTTAAAGCTAAGCTATTAAAATATAAGATTAGTTTATCTAAAATAAAGTTTTATAAATATTAAGTAAAAAATAGAGTTATTAAAACTTTTATATCTAATGTAAACGTGTGGAGTACACCACTACTTGCTGTGATAAGATACGGAGTCAAGTGTAAACTGCTATATTGAGCGAATAACAAAGTAAGGGAAGAAGAGAGTACCAGAGGAACGGAAGCTTATATACAAGATTTGAGCAACACGCACGTGCCGTGCTACACGTGATCTACCCCTTGTCCCTCCAACTCCGTAACATCTAAGACTAAGCTTATTTAAAACTAGCTAGTTTTAAAGACTATATATAAGGTTTACTTATTCCTTAGACTTACTTTTTACTATAAAAGATTTATTAGATACTTTATAATAATCTTAAGTCTATTAAGCGACCTATTTAAGAAGATAAATACTACTTTTTAAAAAAAGAAGTACTATCTTATTATTTAGACTATAAGATATAAATATACTTTTAAAACCCTAAAGGAATAACTTATAAGTAAGCTTATACTAATTTAACCTTAACCTAATTATTTATATATAATTAAGACTAATACTTTAGATTAGGCGCTTAGATATACTTTATTATAACTTAGTAATAATAGCCTTTTATATCTAGTTACCTTTAAAAGAAAGAAGCTCTAAGATACTAAGTTAATATACTTAACTTAAGATAAGAAATTACTTATAATGAAGTATACTCTTTAAACTTAAAGTTATTATATTAATAATTATACTTATATAAAAGTAATTACTGTTACGGAGTTGGAGGAATTGGGGGCAGATCACGTGTAGCAGCACGGCACGTGCGTGCTGCTGGCAGCCTGTATATAAGCTTCTGTTCCTCTGAAACTCTCTTCCTTCCTCACTTAGTTGTTCGCTCTATATAGCAGTTTCCGTTTGACTCCGTATTCATCACAGCAAGCAGTGGTTCACTCCACACGGTCACAATTACTAACTATAAAAGTTTAAAGTATATATAAACTATTAAGAAGCTCTTAAAGTAACTTACTTATTAAGTAACTAAGTTTTAGACTTATAATATTAACTTATATTACTACTTAGTGTAACGAATACTCAAACTGGCTAACTAAACTTGGCTGGGTGTTCGCTGGTTGGTATGCTATGATAAGAAGAAGACTATCGGGTTGTTCACTTGGAAGTGAACTCGTTACTTGTATCAAAGATGTCAAACTAATATGATAAGATTGATAACTAAGTTGAGCACGAAGCTCCTATCTAATGGCAGACGTGCCAGTCTTATATAGAAGCTTCGTTCTCTCGATGTTCGCTCGTTCGACAATCGAACTGGCTAACTGGCGAACTCCTAATATCACGTGATAACAACACAGAGAAATCCTTGGATCGCTTAGCTACTCCAAACGATCCCTATTTGCTATAAGAAACCTGGATGTGCCTGTCGAGGGTTGCGCCTCTTATTATGACAAGTATCACGTGAGCACGTGATTCGTGACACTTACTTATTTAACTTAAATATTAACTTATAGAAGTTTGAGTAATCTAGTTATTCGACTATAGATACTAGTCGGCGTTATTCTTTAAAGTACTAATAAACTACTATATATTATTTAACTTAATATTAGGAATACCTAAGACCTACTAAGTAGTTTATCCTGCCCTAGTAATAACTAGATCGACGTAGGATATAACCCTAACTATAACTCTTATATAAAAGTAGTCTGGAGGAACCAAGGACTTGTATAAGGCTAAATTCCTTGAATTCCTTGCTACTGTTTCAACTACAGACCTAGTAGTCTACACCGACGGCTCTCGCTTAGACGACAAGAGAACCGGGGGAGGCGTTTGTCTTACAAAGGGAGGAATTATCCTTAACACGAAGGTCTACTCCTTTGGCAAGACACTTGAAATCTACGACGCAGAGGCTAGAGCTGCTCTACACGGCCTAGAACTAGCTATTTCCTCTACTTCCTGGCCCTCGGCAAGGACGTGCTGGATTTGCCTTGACAATCTTGAAGCTACACTTCAACTGACCTACCGATCCTGTGGCACCTCGCAAGGGACCTTTAATAGGGTTAACGAGTTAGCTCTTTTATACCCTGGGAAAGTTCAAACCAGGTGGTGCCCTAGTCACATTGGAATTCAAGGGAATGAGATTGCGGACAGAGCTGCGGGAAGAGGCGCTCGGCTACCTCCTCCTGACCCCCCTTCTATACTCTGCACTGCTACACTTAGAAGAGAAGTTAAAGAGACAGGGGTTCAGCTTGCAAAGAAACTCTGGAAAACCACGCTTCCAAGCTTATACAAGGACCTAGGGCTTAACAACTGGTCTTCGAAGCCTCAATCACTTCGCTTACCAAGGGAGGTTCTTGCTCGCTTAATTGCAGCTCGCTCTGGCCACGGTGACTTTACTCTTTATCACCTTCGCTTCTTTCACCTCGACACGCTACTTACTTCAGGGGAGTGTAAGTGTGGAAGAGAAAAGACTCAATTTCACCTACTATTTTGCCGGCTAGCAAATAGAGTAGCCCCTGAGCTATTTGCAAAGGCTCAGAGGAACCCTCAACTCCTCTTCGGACCACAATGCGAGGAACTGTTTCACAAGATCTACTATAAGACAAAGTTCTACTCTAGGATCTGTCCTCCTAGATAGTCCTCTTCTTCCTTACACTATATCTCCTCTTTCTACTGTTCTTTGGTCTCTGTCTTATATAGTTCTTCTCTTGTTCTCTACTCACTATCTTGTACACTGTTAACTTATTTTTACTCTGGCTCTTAAACTAACTCAGAATGAGAGCTGTTCCGGAAGTGGGGCTTCTCTTTAAACTATCTCTTGTAAATTAGCGCACTTTCATTTACACCCCCTGTAGCCTAGGGCACCCCCCTAGCGTCATTTGCCCAACAATGGGACTTTTAGGACCTAGCCCACGCGAGTTAGATTCCGCCTGACGTTAAATAGTAATAAATAAATAAATATATATATAAAAGTAGTATTACCTAGCTCTCCCTTTTCCTTCTCAGGGAACTTTATAAATACCCCTCCTTCTTCCTCTAATATAATAACCCTTAAGGTACTCTAGGCTACTACTTAGAACGCTTCCTTTTCCTAAGAGATAATCTCTTAATATATTAAGGACTTAGAATCTACCTTTTTATCTTTTGATAGCTCTACTAATAAAAAGGTAATTAAGAATATAAACCTAATTAATAACCTTATCTTTATAAACTTTAGCTTTACTAATAATCCTAAGAACGTAAACGCTATAGCTTAAGTACTCGCTCGTATTTACTCAAGTATAGTAAATACTATATATAAGTAGTCTAGAGAAATAAGTACTAACCTAGATAAGCTTTTATCCTCTCTCTTAGTAAGACAAAGCTATAATAGTCACTTTAGACTAGTTAACTCCCTAGTAGAGTTAGAGGATATAATAATAGAAGACTATAATAGTAAGGAATACTAGGCGTAATAATTTCTTAGTATAGCCTTTTTCTTTTTTCCTTTTCTTTTATTTTTAGTTTTATTTTTATTTATTATCTCTTTTAGTATATAGAGGAACCCTAGTATCTACCTAGTCTAGAGGGTTTTTAAGTTCGCTTACTAGCTATTTAGTATATATACTATACTTACTAAGTACTATATACCCCTATCTAAGCGCTCTAGAGCCTAGTTCCTACTAAATATAAAAGATGTTTTAAAAAAGCTCGTTCTATAAGTAAGAACTTAAGTACAGCGATCAGATCGCGCAGTTCTTAGATGGACCAGGGGGTTTTGGTAGTGAAGTTACTTGGCATGAACACGCTGTCAAGCGAGGAGTTATTGGGCATAATCGCTACTTAAGTCCACGAGAACTGGCTTAAAAGCATAAGGAAGAATTACAAGAAAGGGTGGTCTCATTCACTTAATTAATTCAGTTATTGGTGTGTTACTATGCGAAATTCAACTAGAAATGGAATGTCTTGACCCACAAGAATGCTACATTTTCCAAGTTGTAAGAGGAAATTGATTTGATAATGTCTTTACCTGAAATTGTATAGTGGTGGGATTTTAATTCTACTTGGAAAAACATTGTAGATGGTATTTTTGTCTCTGTACATTAATCCAGTGGTGGTTGAAGCTGTCACTAGAAGAAGTATAGTAAATGCATGTCTTTTCGAGTTTGAAAAGCGAGGTTATCAATTCCAATTGTTCATATAGTTAGACAAACATAACAGTTCGAATTCTCCGCGTATTGTTTATAAGAAACCTTTCATCTCTCTAGCCATGATGCACTTACCTAGATAATCTCCATGTACCTACAGGGTTGACAATTCCCAATTTGTCCGATGAATCATGTTTATTATTACTATATAGCACCCCTGCCTCCTTTCGCTGTACAAATACTAACTCATTGCTCCACTACTGGCCCCAGTACTTTGTCCTTTCAGTAACATTGTAGTCTCTTGCCTTGCCCTCTTGGACTCTCTCTGCTCTTCTCCGTAATACATTCTCTGATGGACCTCTTTCTCTTTCATGTATTACCTCAGATCTCTTGCGGTCTTCTTTTGGAGACTTGTTTGTTGGTCTTTCCGTGGTTGATTGGTCCGCTTCTGCTTTTCTCTCAACTCGTCTCCGTCTCCCTGAGGCACGCCGTGCCTGCATGTCCATTTCCTCATCCAAAATCCTTTGACGTTCTACCCGAGAGCTGTGCTTCTTACTCTCCTCTTTTAGCGGCAATGGTTCTGGCGCAGCTGGAACGAAGTTGTCGTCTTCGACTTCATAGTGATTTCGAGTTCTGTGCGGCCGCTCGAGTGGCAATGGTTCGGGTGCAGCTGGAACAAAGGAATCATGGGAGAGTCGTCGAGTTTCATTCCTCTCTAAATGCTTGAATATCTTCTCTGTCTGTCTAGCTCCAGTACAAGACGCCTTTGATGACCGTACTCGTCGTCTGGTTCTTGGCGATAGACGGTGGTTTTGATGTTCGTGGTTGCCACTGCTTACAGACTTTTCTCCTCTCGACTTTCCGATTATGGACCCCATGTTGATTTCTGAGCTGCGGCTACTCAAAAATGACCCCGCATCCGGATGGTTTTCATCAAAATATGTGTCATCTAATACCCGGTCGTGTTTATAGCTGTCAGTTACGTGGGCGTGACGTGGCTCCTTTCTCGTTCCTCCCCTGACATCCTTATCCATACTATGGCTCGAATCCCCCTCCACAACCCAGTCAGACTTTTGAAGATCCGGTGGACTTGTTAATGTGCGACGACGTGCCATATTTTGGATCGCCTCGAATGCTTTACTCCTTGTTTTGTTGGTTGGTGGGCTCATGGTGGTTTGCGCCTTCCCTGAAAATGGATCATGAAGAGGCATAAAGTCTTTCTGCTGCATTGCGCCTTCACCCTTCAACACAGCCTTGCTGTTTGAATTGGATGTCTCATTCTTCGAATGCGGATCGATGAATGGTAATCTATTGGTCGTTGTTGACTCCCCAGAACGCTGGCCAATTACAGACCTGCCATATGTTGGCTCGGTAGATTTCGTTTCACTCCCTCTCCTACTACTATAACTCCTCCCCAAACGACTGAAACTAGAAGTCAGACTTCCCTTCACTCTAGTCCATAGTTTCACATCCATTTGAGGACGTTCATAGTCGATACCATCAAGTGAAACAACCGACATATTCCCTCGCTCCCATTCTTCCGCATTGTCTACCTCTTGATCTTGTCCTTCCATAGCTTGATTACATTGCGTCAGCCATGCAAATACCCTCTTTATAGATGCTGCTTGGATATCTAGAGATGGGTGGGTAGGGCTTCCCTTTCTGGCAGGGATTAGAAATCTAACTTTAGGATCTTGTTTATCTGACATTCCTCGGCTACCGAGTGAGACTCTCCTTACCCCTGCTATTTTCATCAATCGTCAGCATCCATGATCATCACTCTCATTTATTATTCACAACTCCATATTTTTCCCTCCTGCGCGTTGAAGTCACATGATTACACTCACCTCTACTCTCAGCACTCGCACCTGCCACGTCTCTCTTCCTCAACAACTCCTCCTCTTCCCACCTACTCATCCTCCAATGTTCGACTTTGCTTGGGCTTTCATTTGGATATATATCCTTTTTTAAAGAATGCAATTTCCCAGTGCTTTTTCGTGGAGGATGTGCATACATATTAATCTTAATATGTTGGATTTCTTTATCGACTTCGTCTAGCATCATTTTGAGCGGGGAAAAGAACTGGGATTTTGTGGCTGATTTAGAATCAGACTTCTCGCTACCGGAAACCTGCCTGGATGTGCTGGGATTCTTTGAGACGTTGGAAGAATTGGAAGCGTTCGAGGTGTTGCTGACGAGCCTCGGTTTTGACATTTTCAGAAGTAGAGAACGGAGTTCGAGGGTCCGGTTGAGTCGCCATAGCCAGACATCTCCCAGGTGTGGCGAGATATTAGAACGGAGTTTCTGGAGGAGGCTAGATATTTGTTGATGGAGAGGAGGTGGAAGTGAGGTGCTGTTTGATAAGGAGCTGATGGTGTTGCAGAGGTGGCACATCCTTCCGTTGCGCAAAGCTTTGAGCTCTATTCCTTGATTACGTTAGGATGGGTGAGATCTTTAGTGATGCCGGGCAAAATGTTAATGGAGTACAGTTTCCTGGACATGTATGATGACTTTGGCATTAAGAATTTGGTCCGCTTTCGTAGGAATGATTTTATAGGAATGAAATATTTATTAGATATATAAACGATTTCTGTGATTGGACAATTGGTTCATGAATAGACTGATGAAAGTATCTGATGGGACGTGAATCATTTTTGGACTGCATATAGTTGTATTCTGCAGGTCTAGACATGTGAATGCTTCACTGTTGAAAGACTCTATTTACTTCCCTTTTTGTCAAAAGAAACTGGGTGGGAGTGATGGAAGTAGTTACGTATAGAAGCACTTGGTATCACGCTCTATGAAAGGCAATAAATATTCCATTGATTCCAGATTTAAAAAACCAAGCTAACATGCTTGTTGATAGTTTGTTCTATCCTCTGTCCCTAGTTTTGTTTTTGTTGAGTTATCAAAGCAGCTTATCCCATGCTGCTACGGAATAGACGATCAGTGAAGTGGCCCTCGTACTGGCCAATGATCATTGTCGTTTTCTTCTCTCTTCGTTTTCAGAATTCACCAGGAGAAAGCTTTGAAAGGCCTGAGGGCCTAAAACCCGCTCTTTGAGCGTTGTTGACGCGTCTTGATTCACTGTAATTCGCTCTAGGCCAAGGTGAACTTTCCGATCTTCAAAATACAGGGAGCTTGGAACCTTTAGTCAAGATCTCTCACATAGAAAGTGCCAACCTTATTTCTGGCTACTTTCCAACCTTGTCATACAAGCACTGCCGAGGACCAAGCCAGCCACTCTACCGATCATCTTAAGACCCTTGACAGTATGGACACTACACATATCGGAACTCAGTATTCTGAGGAGTATATCAACAGCACGACTAAGGAAAAGAAAGATCGGGTCAACGGCCAAGACAAGCCAACAATTTATAATCATCCCTGGGCATCCCCAAGTAAGTCGAAGCGAAAATATTACCTCGATAATGGCAGAGCTCATACTATCATAGGTTCCTCATTTCCGGCAGATAACATCCGCATCGAAAATGGAAGAGTATGGAATGAAGATCTGTTCGAGTCAACCTGAGTTTTGTGGAAAATTGTTACACGCCCAACGTATGCCTCGGGGAAGCCATGCAAGGAACATTGGACAAATCACCACACCCTACATCTGAACAAACATGGCGAGCCAATTGAGGAGACTACTGAGAAGTTCATAAAAGTCGAATGGCCCAAAAGCCCACTAAATTTTACCCTCTTTCCAAAGCTTCCTCCAGAGGTAGGTTTTCACAGTTCCCTCACAAGCACCACAACGACTTGCCGCTAACCTAAGCTCAAACATATAGCTACAAACCAGAATCTGGGAACTTTCTCTTCCAGACCCCTCTGTCATCCGTCTCACCCTTGATAGAATCGAAGGGCAAGATTTCGCCGATTCTCCTTCTTCCTGGCACGCAAGTTATACCAGCAAGTACGAGCAAAAATACCGAAACGTTAATCTTTGCGTATGCAAAGAATCTCGCTTTATCTTCATGCAAAATTACGTGCGAATCCCAACATACAATCCTGACGAAGTACGAGATGTGATGGATGATAGACCAGTATATTTCAACCCAGTAGAGGATACAATCTTGCTCCCACAACGTTTCCCTCTCTCGGGAAGACTCAGCGGAACATTCCATACGATATTCGACAACTTTCTCGAAATTGCACAGAATGTTGCATTCCGAGAAAATCAAGTTCCTAGAGGGAGAAGCTGGTGGCTGCAGGCTATGATAGTGTACAATTTTCCACGTCTTAGGAACTTGTATTTTCTCTTGAACGATTGCCCGGAGAAAGAAGCAGAGCACTTTGGTCTGTTCAGAATGGTGGAAGTCAATGGAGATTTGAAACGAAGTGAGCTGTCTTTTGATCATCCTGCATCCGCCCTCTTTTCCGAATCCCCGATCATGCCAGCAGCACAACTTTCGCACGTATTCAACCGAGCCACTGCAGTTCACAGAGGCTGGGCCCGCGGACTTCGACATCAAAGTTCGCGTGTAGACCTCGTCGATACAGATCTCAGACGGATCAAATTCCGAACAGCTTTATTGGCCCGAGAAGACGATTTAAAGTGGTTCAGATCCGAGATATTGTACCTCGTTCCATATGGCTATGGTTCAACGGCCACAGATCTTGACAAGTATTGCGTGTACTACACAATCAGACCAATGTCCGAGTTTGGAGCAAACATGAAGCGGCTTCTACTTTGCAAAGAACCATCGTATTGGATAAAAGATTCACATAGGGAAAGCATGGCCAGAATTGGTGAAAGAGGATATTTCTTCTTGTCACCTCGGACAGATCGCTCTGAAGACTACGAGGGAGTTGCGGATATGTTTGCCGAAATGAGTATAACACAACGACAAGCGGGAGCAGGTGCAATGACCTACAGAGGTATTTCTTTGGCGGACCATCAAAGTACCAGAGTTCCTGGCCCTGAGGAAAGTTATTACCTTGCTACTACGACGAGTTGGAAACCAGAGATTGTGTTTTCTGCTCTTTGTGACAAGGTTACTTGTTGGGGCGTCAAAGAACTTGTTTACGCATTCTATCATTCGGAGAACTTGAGAGACACCATAGCTTCAGAGATTATTCCGAGACAACCTTTGATTACTAATGCTGTGTATTGGCAACCGCTAGATGGATCACCAGGATCGCAATTCCTCAACTTTGGCATGTGGTTCCTCCTTCGAACGGTCAGAAATTGGGAGGAAAAGAAACGTACACCTCACGCTTGGTTCTGGATCTAGCAGTGGGAGGAGTCGGGGTAGACAATTATTTCTAGCCTAAGAATTTCGACAAATTATAATTCCCAGTCCTTTAGAATAATCAAATACCAATCCCGAATCTTGTAAAAAACAAAAAACAAATCCTTCATTTCTATTATCTAAACAAATGAATGACAAATCAGTACAAGTAGAGCATTGAGGTCTTCTTACATTTGTACGAAGTAAAAGCAGATTACTAGCGATGCAACAAGTGTAAGTTGCCTTTCCTGGGAGAGCGGAAAAAAGCGACGTGCGAAGCCTACATGAGCGTGACGTTTTTTTGTCGAAAAATGACAAATCGGCACTAGCTCAGAATTACCGGGTTTAGTTCAAAACCTATAGCTATCACATACATGCAAGTTTCACTCATCTCTTCTATCTCGTCGTATGGCTCCCATCTTGCCGCTTAGTTTTGCGACCATCAAAATGTGGTGGAAGAAGCTTCTGTGAAAAGAGGCTACAAAGTGTTTAGCGACGTCTTTCGATTCTTCTTCCTACTACGCTCCTGATGTCTCAGCCCGAAACCAGCCATGCGTATATAGCAATGGGTCTCGGTCTCTGCTTATGGTGTCTTTCAGAATTAGATACTTCAATGAACCCAAAACAAATTTTATTTCCATCCATAATCTCTGTCCTCCATTCACCAGGAAAATACCAAAACTTCAGCTGAGCTCCTTTTCGTGTGCCGCATGGTAAGTCAAAGCTTTCCACACATTCAAGGGCTCGAAGGGCTCTAAGGGGCAATAATTCCAGATCGACTTTGACACACAGGCCACCACACCAAACATCAGGCAATCCACACATTTAAGTGCACATTAATGAACAATGATGAACGATTATAACTTGATATTTACTTGCGTTGCCTCTAAGTCTTGGGTAATCATTCAGCCTCGTAGTATACTAAGTACATAGATCCTTTAGCCTATTGGGTAGTAGTTTCAGATGTAGGCCTGGTGTGTCAATCTAGCCGGAATTATTTCCCCTTAGACAAGGGGTGAATTCCATTAAGCGAGATGGGTGTTCGCCTTTTGTTTACTTCCAGCACGGACCACCCTCCGCACCGCTCCACCATCCAAGAATTTCCCGCGAACTCATAAAACATCACTTATCAAACAACCACCTTAACCTCTCAAAAATGGAGGAGCCAGATCCCAACATCAAGTTAGAGTACAATCCATGGATAAACTTGATATCTCCTCAGACTATCATGGAACCTCCCAGAGAAACCACAGAGATCATCGACCTAACATTAGACTCACCACCCCCTAGCCCCATTTCCCCACCGACGATCATGAATGGAAACGAAGCAGAAGCCCCTCCCACCACGCCGTCCCTCTTCCACAGCACCCTCAACTTCGGAAGCGAAAAAATGCACCAATTCATCGCATCAGGGATTCCACAAGCAGCCGCAAAGCAAGTATGCAGCGCCGCCCTAACAACATCCCTTTTCGTCGCCAAGACAAGTCTGAAGGTTGCGCAAACGACTGCTTCGTATGGATTTGCCAAATTGAAAGAATCCGTTATCCCGGACCATGTCGCTGATTACCTTTCAGCGAACAAGAAGGGAAGGCGACGAAAGACTAAGTGGGAAAAAGTACCTAAGGAGGTGTGTAAGTGGTGTCGAGCCCACCCGAAGGAGTTGAAGACGATGGGGTACGTGGCTGCGGGTGGGATGTTGGTTTATAATCCTACTTTGTTGGTTGGTGCTTTGGGGATGCAGAGGAAGGCTGTTCTTGGTGGTGTGTGTTTCTATTTTCATTACATTCATCTCGTTTTTTTTCTTCTGGCGAGATGTAGGTTTCTGACGTGAGAACAGCTAGCGTTGCGACGAAGGTCAAAAGAGCCGTCAGTATTGCGTCCTCAGTTCCTGTTGCTTTACAGGCTTTTCAGGATATACGAAAAGGTGGCATTGGGAGACTTGGGACAGCTGCAATGAAGCTGGCTATGCGAAAGACGAAAAGAGAGAAGAGGGGTAGGAAGAAGAGAAGCTGATGCAGCAAGGAGAGGGGGGTGCTTCATAAGCCTTTTATGCTCCTTCGTGGCTTTTCAAAGAGATACTGTATGGATATGCTCCACATACAGGTCTCTTGACGCATCGCATCGCTCGGATACCAAGAAGCAACATCAGCAGGCGCCGGTAGGCCACAGCATCTCTGATATACTTGTTGAAATATCTTTTTGCGAGAGTTATTGTGTGGTACAGAGGAATGTGGTTATCGTGAAGTTTTGAAGCTATCGATTCACGGAGCGGCATACAAGGTACTTCGATAGCATAATCAAGATTATTCCAGCAGATACCCCTCATTTCATTGTCGCCTCCTTACACGAGTCCAGGAACACACCTTCTCAATTGAAACCCACAATAGTCCCCCTACTCCCCAGATACTACTCACACTAAGAAGATGGTTGATTATCTACCACCAACGTACTTCCCGTCGATAGCCTCACTCGGTGACAACAATTTCCTACTTAGGCCCTCACTCAGCTCGGACAGGCACAAGAATCCACCTCTGATTAGATCCCCCATGATACGGAAAAACCAAAAGCTTCGTTCCATCCGCAGCTCCGCTATTATCATGGTCGAACACCCTGTTTCTGTCCAGTGCGCTTCGGATACTTCCAGTCGTAGAAATTTAGCCTCCGACCAATCAAAAGATGGGGAAGGTTATAAGGGAAAAGGATGGAACTCACATCACACTTCCATCACTCCTCGCTTCGACCTCAAATCGACTCCGGCGCTCACTGGGAGCTCCAGTACCCGCTGAGGGATTTTGGGAGTTATCTATCATAATTCTGTCAGTTTTCAAATCATCACCAGAACCAACAAAGTAATCTCTTTTCTGCACAGGGGTTTCCAACTCTCATGATAGCAGAGATAACATCACCAAGACCAAATTCATAAATGACCTACCAGCCGGAGCTTTGATATATTCCCCCGTAGTACTGTTCAAAATGATAACCTGGCTCGGGCTAACCGCAGCAATCTGCCACGTCTGCGCAGCACTAAGAGAAGGAACGCCGATAAATTGGATGCTCTGTAGAGTTCTCAGTTGTGTTTTAAACATGATCGGAATGGGAGATATGTGATAGTACCGTCCGGTCAAAGTTCCATTCGTAAGATCCACGACTGTCCCGGATGCTACATTTTTGAGGAAGTAGACACCAGGGCCTGGGTAGGAGCTCGCGGTTGAGGTAGAGGTGGTCATGTTATTTGGATGAGAAATGTATTGTTATTGGCAAATTGTATTTTCTTGACAAAGGTTGGAGATGAAAATATTTATTTTGTGAGTGAGAAAGCAACGAATATATACCCATCAAGCTCTCGGGTGAAAATTGTAGCATCCAAGGTATTTCGAGAGAAATGATGCGATATCTTACACTACTTCTGCAATTGCAGAGGAAAGCTGAGAAAAAGAAGGGGGAGGTGTAACTTTAATCTGGTAGGGTAGTACATTACATCTAATGTAGTAAACCTCTACCAATACTTTGATAAGCACTAACATACTGTTTTCGTGATGTTATATTGAGAGGCAGATGTGGGATGTTGTGTGATCTCCAAAGGTTGAACTGCATAGCTTAGACGAGAAGGAGTTTTCACCTGCCCCGCAACCATTTCCAGAACTATCCTTTGTCACTGTTTCTATTTGATAATACTTATGACAAACCCAAACTAAAACACAAAAAAGGCTGAGCTATACGTAAGGATATAAACAGGCTTGGCCATATCTCAGAGAAATAATTGGGTTTCAGCTGGGTTGGTTCCTCGTAGGATACATCTGAACAACTATTGAATACTTTGTGAGCAGAAGAGGTGCTTCACTTCTCGAAGCTTATCTATAGAAAGGGTAGAGACAGGGTATGTAGCCTTTTTTACTGTCACGCTACTTTCAGAAGTTCCTAGACAGTACAAACTTGATCTCTTATAATCCATACCAACCCACATCACCCCCTCCCCAGATAGAAGAAGACCCAAAGAAATTTCCCAACTTCTGTTATCTTCTCTTCTCAAAAGATAACACAACGAGTAACCCACGACCCTGAACCAACTCGACCCCCCACTCTGCCATCAAAAGCCTACTCTACCTACCCTTAATCATCCCTCCTCTAAAACTATCATATTACCACCACTGCCACTCCCCCCCCCTCAAACAAAAGAATTTGATCTAACCAACCTTGCCTCTACCAGCTCCACCAAGGGGGTCGCAGATACTCATAACTACTTACACAGCCCCAAGGACCAAGCATCTCAACTCCTAGTCTCCCATCCCAGCCCCCCTCCAAACGATAACTCAAAATACATCCACTCAATTCCCCAAATCCCTTCCAACAAAGTCAACGAGTCCTTCTAGCTTCCAACAATAAAGGAATTTTCTTTCCTTCTTCCCTAGTCACATTTCGACACCTGTGTTCCCACCTCCCCTTACGGATCCAAGGGACTAAGAAATGAATAAACAAGGCGCCACCTAATCATCAAGACAAACACTACAAGGCTCTACCAGTAGATAGAAGAATCTCATTCCCTAATTCACATACACTAGGGAGAACCCTCTCATAGTCACCTACTACCTGAGCTCAGCCGGCAAAAGGAAAAAAAAGAAAAGAAAAGACAAAGACAATATCCCGTACAACTCGTACACACCATCACCTACCGCTATCATACTATCCCATCCATTTCATTCCAAAAACAATTCATACTTCCGCTCCCTCGCAAAACCTGGATATTCCTCGCAAAAATCTTCCATCAGGAATGACAAATCAATGGAAAATATCCATGAACCTCGCAAACTCCCAGCTCAGCTCATCGAACCAGATCAAAGAAACAAACTACATCATGAGAATAGAAAAAATAACGCCCCGCTAACACACATGCAAACCAGTAATTCCTTGTAGTACTGTATCTGAGTCGAGTTGATTCCACTTTCTTCATGAAAATCGACCAAACTCGCCATTCCAAAACACCGCTGAGCACCCAATTCAAATCCCAATTTTTGCTCAGACGAAACACACAAAACCGTAAAAAGAAGAAAATTACAAGCTTCACCTCTCAAGGCTGCGAGGTTGTGTTTCCGGAACTGGTTGCCTCACCGTTCACAGGGGTAGGCGCAATTCGTCGTTTCTTTTTCTCACCTCCCTCCTCTCGTTCGCTCTCGCTGGCATCTCTCTTAATGCCACTCACAAAGCTTGCTGTGCTTCTAGGTGTTTGAGGTGGAGTAGTCATTGGCATCCCAGACGTGAAACTTCCCGCTGTGATGCCGGAAATGGTCCCGCCCACTAGAGGAGGGTTGCTAATGATTGTTCCTGGAGGCTGAGGTACAGCAGAGATGGTGGCTATCGACGAGGTAGAATTAGATCTGGTCGGCGATGAAGGCCGAACACTTGCGTTCGCCGGTGCAGGCGGTGGGGATGGAGCGACGGAAAGATTTGATGAAGTGCGATGGTGGTGGCTAACAACCGGGAAGGGCGATGGCGGGGCAACGGAAGTTGGGGTTGCCATTGGTGTATTTTGAGATGAAGAGGCCGCTGTGCCACTCAACATTGTGTGTTTTGATGTTGGTAGCTCGCCGGTATATGGCTGACCAAGCTCTCCGGGTGAAAATGTGAGAGTAGAGCAGAATCCATCAGACGATGTCATTAACAACGTATGTCCGTCGTTTGACCTATAAAGTATTAGCTTGAGGAGTCTTTGAACCAACGATATTTTAACTTACCAAGTCAAATCTGTAAATGTGGCACAATGCAAGTTGCTGACAACACATAGAGGGGTCTGTTGTTGAGTGTCATACAACAAGACGGAGTCTTCTGTTGCAACGGCATAAACCATGCGATAGGGTAGGGTAAAAGCCATCGCAGGTCCTTGCGTTGATGCATTCGTTTCTACTTCTAGAGGCTTGGGTTTAGAAGAGGATGTTGGTCCAGAAGGATCACTTGTTTGTGGTACTGTTTTGGGTGGTTCCATGACCGATGAAGGGGCTGGTGATTTCGAGCTAACTGCTGGCTCGGGTAGTGCTGGCATGGTCTCTGGCGAAGATGTATCAATCGTAATATGCTTTGTTGGGGGAGAGGCTTTTCTAGTGGTGTAAAAAATGGGGGAGCATTTTACTACAACAGAAGGTTTCTTGTGACCAGGTAGATGTGCAATTGGAGGCTTATTAATTCCCCCTCGCGTGTAAATGTAGACTGTGTTGATGACTTCATACATTGGCTTTGCGGCATCATCAAGTGGTTTATGTTGGGTCTGATATTGACCCGCTGGTGTGAGAAGAAGACTACCATCTGAGGTGAAAGTCAATCGACGAAAGAATGACTTGAGAGTATCGTTGGCATAGATATTCGCATTTCTCATACCAATGCCCATGAATGGTCTTGGGGAAGCTGGCATGATAGCAGGCAATGGAAGAGAGGGTGCTGGTGAAGCAGATCGTCTCATTGACATTGCTGGTGAAGCAGCCCCAAACGAGGACCTTCTGCTATGGCTGATGGTACTTGGAGGATTCATAGGCAGTGCCAAAGAAGTTGGGGTTCCAGGACATGAAGGTATTGGAGATGCCGATCCAGCGTTCAGAGCTTCCGCCGACATTGCTGACATTTGAGATCGAAAACCCATATCCGGTGGGGCGGGGCTGTTGGAAGATATTCTTCGACCTGGCAAATCCATCTTCATGTTATTTGCGATTTTCTTGGGGATCTCGTCACGATTGTCCAAGACATAGCTTCCATCTTTAGTTCGCAATGTGTAGATATGTACCGATCGATCCGAGGATTGGGTCGCGATGTATTCATTCAGGGGATCCCACGCAACTCCTTGCACGTAATGCTGATGCTCTGCGATTTGTCGTACCAACTGACCTACAGCACCGTTAGGCCCAAACATGATTTATCAAATATGATTGATGATTAGGAATTTCCACCTTACCAGATTGCGCATTGTAGATTCTCGCAACATTGTCCATACTACCAGTGATGAAGTAGACTCCATCTGGCGACCAGGCTAGATCGTAGATTTCAGCTACCGCCGACCTGCACATATGCCTCGTCCTCCACGACTCCTTGTCTTCAATTCCATCTTCTCCGAAATTGGTCTTGGAGTTTTGGGAATCGAGAACCCATACAATTACGTTTCCATCGTCGCCGGCAGAGGCTAGAACATCTCCTGGTATGGGGTTAGTGATTGTCGCGCATCTCGAAAGTGGTTAGGATGAGATGACGGTACCTCGAGGTGCCCAACGAACCACGTTTACGGCTTGGGTATGGCGGACCATGGTACATAGGTATTCGACCTTTCGATCCTCCCCCTCGGCGTCAATCTTCCATAGCTTCTCGTGGTCAGCATGGCAGCCGGGTGGGATGGATTGGATGGATTGGATGGATTGCACCTACTCGAACATGGTTATCTCCACCACCGGTTGCCAATCGACCTTTTCCATGAGGCTGGAACTCGGCCGAGTATATGGGAGCATTCTCGGCATGCCAGTTGACAATTATGGGAGCCGCCTTCATGTTCGCGGTGGCTTTTGGCGGGCGCAAGTGGTGGTTGCTGGGTGTAGTTAATCTTATCAGCAGCTGCGGGGCGGATGTTGTCCGGAAGACAGGCTGGGAAGGTGAGGGAGTTCAAAATGAAATTCGATGCCGCGACACTGGACGAGGTTGGTAATTGAGACAGCGACAAAGGAATGGGTTGGTGGTTGTGAATCGGGGTGTTGTAGGTGTTGCAGGTCTGGGTCTGGGTATAGGACTGGGATGCTGGGGTGCGATGCGCTGCGGTGCTAACGATGCTGGTCTAGCGTAGGTATGCCGTATGCGTACTACCTAGCGAGCGCGAGCTAGCCTATGTACTGAGTACGCTCCGAGGACATGGAGCGCGTATAGGTAGCGGAGATTCCTTTTCTTCATGCTCGTATACGTGCACCTTAACTTGAAACTACCTATACCCAGGCTGGGTAGTGATAATGCTACATTATCTAGGACATTAAGTTCCGTGATCCCTGAAGTAGTGGTTGATTGTTTTGGTTATCTTAAACAAGTAGAATAATAACCTAGTTGGAATGATTTACTGCTTCTTTTCTTGTCCATTAGAATCGCAATGCGGGCGCGACGTTAACTTGTCCTGGGATTTCACTAATTCCATACTATACATATACCAACCTGTACTCGTAGGTATGATTGGATTCGAGAGAGTATCGAAAACATTCTCGGGAACAATGGAAATGAACCGTACAAGTATCATTTATATATATACATAAAGAGATATACCTATATACTTCAGACGAACTCAATGTCTTGGTTTGTACTCCTTTCAGGCAGGGTAAGAAAGAGTGGAGGGGCCTTCCCCATATCTCCCTACCTATAGGTGGTCCAGAGAAAAAGGTTCGTCCAATAATAAGCAACTTCGAAGCAGACCCAGTCAAACATAGGTAGCCATCTGCACCTCTGAGCAGAGGGCGTCCATTTATAGAACTTTGAGTGGAGAGGGATCAAACATCTCCATGGCGACGTACATGAAGAGATGCAGCGTGGAGCTCTTCCCTGCCTATCTATGCCTATGCAAGTCCAAGTCACGTATGGCTGAGTCGTAAGTCACCCCACGTAAGGTACTTTGCACTTCAATTGTGATTCGTTATCGTATCATGAATTCAGGTGGAATTCGTAAGGCTGATATGTAGAGCATCTGGCAGTAGATGCAAGAAAGTAGTTTCTTTGCCAATACCAATCACACTCACTCCATACTTCCTACCTACCTGTAGTCAAGGCTGAGCAGAATTAGATTGACACCACTCACCGTCCCGACCTTTCTCCTCACCACCAGTCTGACTGTTCTATACCCAGGTAGTATAGAAGTGGCGTCAGATTCAAACAGTGACAGTCTCACCTTATGTTGACTTTTCCGTAACAAGTAATCCAATCCACTTTGGAAACAACTATTTCTGTGTCTGGACATGATAGATGGTCTCTCAAATCCACTATCACCACCTGGATCTCTCCAACTTACGTATACTACCTATAGGTACGCTCTTAGGCTAAATAGAGGAAGACTAGATAGGCTGAGGAGGTTACCTATCCACCTTGGCACTCCCGTCCACTGTGAGTATTGGTCACGTGATAACAAGCACTTAGGTTCCTGGGTCTTGCTTACATATTCCAACCCACCTGCACCTGAACCTACACCTGCAGCATCCATCTATGGCCAGAGGAGTGTTTGAACCAACACAAGCTCCATCGACAGCCTCTGTTCCTCCCCCAATCCTCTAGATCCTAGAATTTCTACCACTATTTCCACATCTCTGCGCCTGGTGGATATGATTGATCCAGCTACTTGTTTTGACCCATCTCCCACCCCCAATACCAATCGTACTTGTCCCTACTCATCCAAGGCGTAAGCTGCATCTCACTGTCTCCACTTCTGGGAGCACTCCTTCCACCTTCTCACCGCTGAATGGTGGATGATACAGCAGTATATGACTGTCTTTGTCAGAAAAGCATGGGGACCGCATGGATGGACAGGCCGCCGCACCTTACCATATCTGATAAAGAGACCTGGCAGATAGATGTATGAGAGCTCCTTTGTTGCGTGTCTATATGATTGTGCTACCATCAGATCCAGCCCATGACAGAGCAGAGCAAATGTCATAAGAAGGAGTGGCGAGGAAAGAAACGGTTAATAGGTGAGATACGTAATACTTGGTACTGTTATCTCAACCTTAAGCGCACATCATCCTCAAAAAGATGTCTTCCTAGCCTCTCCTCAAGAAAGCACAATGCACATACTCGGATGGGTTGACGGTAAGGAGGGAGCTGACATGTATAGACTGAGTTGAGAAGGAAAAGATGATTTGCACATTACTATGACCAAGTACAAATCCAGGCGAGTGCCATTGACTTGAAAATGTTGATCCTCACTATTTTATATCCTCACCTCTCACTGCCCCACCACTCACATGTGTTGCAAACTCTCTTGATTCGCTCTCTCTGAAGTCGCTTGGTAGCAGTACATTTTCTCCAGACTATCTCGTACCTGGTGCCTTGATAGGTTGAACCTAAAATTCCGTGCCAACACAACAACCTCCTCGTCTCCGCCGATTCGCCTGTCCCTCTTCCCACACCTTCTCTTTGTTGCCTAGTCTAATTTGTTTTCTCTACCCATTCCCTCTTCTCTGCATACACACCATATACACCATCAACTACGTCAAACCACTGCACGTGTTTCCCCACAAACTGGTGCAGCAATCCGCCCCTCCTCTCCCCCCACTTTTTACTGCAACGTTTGCAGTAGATCGACTTGAAGGTTCACAGATACTGGAAGACAGAAACGAAGGTTCGCAGACACGTTGTTGACAATGCAGCACCACGCCGTTTGACTCAGACCTCTTCTAATTTTCACCCCAGCAGTCAATCGCTTTACTTCATTGGTCGGTCGCGTTCTCGCGTGAGGCGTCTGTTGCTCATATACAAAAAAATAGATTTGCGAATAGACAGGAGGTCGCTATCTTTGCTTGATCAACTTTCAGAGGGTCTTTGCATGTCGGCACCTCTTAGCAACCCGTTCAAACTTCTACCCTCATAGATCGGACAAGCATGCAACTTTCTCAATCCAGATAGGCTCGTTCATAAACATCCAAGATGCTCCAATTGGATGCAAGATCGCTCGTCGCAGGGGCTGCGGGCGTGGTCTTGACTTTCCTGCTTACCCTACCTTCAACCTTGACTTTATGGAAGCTACTTGGATCTGGCAAGGCCAGACAAGACACTTATGAGGACAAAGATGGCATAGCAACTAAGGAATCATTGGCAAAATATACAGCCAAGGTCCCAAAGATCTGGATTAGCATTCTCACGGTTCTTGGCTTATTGACGTCCATTGCTTTAGCTATTCTGGCAACTCTGGACTCCAATCAGTGGATGCTCTTGGAGAATTGGTTAAATGTAGCACAATGGGTACGTGCAGGCATGATGAGCATCACTCCCCACTTGAGGTACTCTTGTTAACTATTGGCAGAGTCTACTGGTAGTTCAAATGATTTGCATCTCAGCCATCCGACATCCTCCGCAGTCATATCGTCTAGGCCTTTTCTTTGCGCTGTCATCCATTATTCTTCTTGCTACGCAACTCTTCCAGGATCAGTTGGTTGCACAAGACGCAAAAGTTGACATATCGTCCCTGACCATTTCACTCCACATCGTCAAGCTCTTCGTTGTACTCTTTGCTGGAATTGGAAGTGTGTGCATTCCTCGGCGACCAGAAGTATATCATGGAGGGAAATGTGTTGATGGAATGTTAACCACATCCGCCTTGGGACGCTATACGTTCTCTTGGGTTGACGATCTGATTCATCTAGCACGATATAGGGGTAGAATCTTTGACAAGGATTTGCGGGCGATGGATCATTATACTCGTGCGCAAGATCTGAGCAATGCATGGGGACAAAGAACTCACACCAGACGACTTTGGATTGAAGTCATTATGACCCACAAAGCTGCCTTCATACGACAATGGGCCTTGACGCTTTCACAGGCATTTGGAGTCTTTACACCACAATTCATCATCTTTCGTATCTTACAAATTCTGGAAAAGAGAGGTACCGGTCAAAAGGTTGGCTCTGAAGCCTGGATATGGGTCGTCACGCTTACTAGTACCACTATTGCTATATCCTGCATTGAGGTATGTCATATTCCAATGGTGTTTTCTTCTCTATTTAAATGACTCGAATCCGGACGGCTCTATTTTTTCATGATGAACAGCTTTTAGGAGAATCTTACTAACTCTTCTACCTTTATGTAGTCATGGATGTATTGGATATGTTGGTCTGAACTTGCATTTCCCATCAGATCTCAATTGTCGAGTCTTATCTTTCAGAAGGCTTTGCGAAGAAAAGATGTAAAGGGATTATCAAAGGCCTATAAGAAGGCTAATACCTCGGATCCAAAAGAGAATGGAGAAGGCACTGATTCCGAAGGCAAACAAGCAACCGTCAACCTAATTGGTATCGATGCAAAACGTGTTAGTGATTTTTGCTCCTTTAACAATTACTTCCCAGGAAGTTTTTTCAAGCTCACCATCTCATTCACATTCTTGATCAACATCATTGGGTGGGTGCCGTTATTGTGTGGTGTTGCGGCAATGTGTGCCATTCTACCACTCAACATATATTTCAGCAAAAGGTATTCTGCTGCACAAGATAGGGTTACGAAACTTCGAGATTCCAAACTGGTGGTAATTACTGAGGCTTTGCAAGGTAGCTGAAACAAAAAAATCCATAAAGCCATGAGACTAATTCTTGCAGGTATCCGTCAGATCAAATTCTCTGCTCTTGAAACAAACTGGCATGACAAGATTGGGAAAGTTAGGAACAGAGAGTTGGCTGAACAGTGGAATGTTTTCAAAAATGACTCTGTCTTACTCTTGTAGGTACTTCTTCTAATTCCTGTCGAAGCTCCACTAACATGTTTTAGCTGCTGGATTGTAAGCCCTATTGCATTTTCCGCAACATCACTTGGGGTTTATTCTTGGATTTATGGGAATCTTGAACCCTCCATTGCCTTCACAGCTATCAGTATTTTCGCCAGTCTTGAGACTACACTTTCTATTATTCCAGAACTCTCAACTAATCTGATCGATGCCAAAATCTCTATCGACCGAATTCAAAAGTTTTTGGATGCGCCCGAAGTTTCAGAAAACAAGAACGATGGACCCGAAATTGTGTTTGATGCTGTATCTATCGCATGGCCATCGGACGAAGAGAAGAGAGATGGCGACGAACGTTACGTCCTTCGAGATATCAACCTAACATTCCCAGCAAAGGAACTTAGTGTTATCAGTGGCAAGACGGGAAGTGGAAAGAGTTTAATGTTGGCCGCAATTCTTGGCGAAGTCGATGTCTTGTCGGGAAAGCTCACGATCCCACGACCACCTCCTGCCCATGAACGACATGACGTTCTTGCTACCAAGGAAAATTGGATCATACCTTCCTCTATTGCCTTTGTTGCTCAAATTCCGTGGATCGAGAATGCTAGTATTAGAGATAATATTCTATTTTGTCTACCACTTGACGAAACACGTTATTGGAAAGTTATTGAAGTCTGCGCTTTGAAGCAGGATTTAGCAATGCTTGCAGATGGCGAAAACACGGAAATTGGTGCTAATGGGATAAACCTGAGTGGCGGCCAGAGATGGAGAGTCACATTGGCTCGTGCCTTGTACTCGAGAGCTGGTATACTGGTTTTAGACGATATATTCAGTGCAGTAGATGCACACGTAGGTCGCTACATCTTTGAGAAAGCCCTTACGGGATTACTTGGCGTGGGAAGAACCCGGATCTTGGTCACTCATCATGTTGCTCTGGTCAAACCAAAAGCGAAATATATTGTCGAACTCGGCGATGAGACGGTAGAACAATGTGGTCTGGTACAAGAACTCGAAGTTGATGGAATCCTCCAAAAGATCATCAGTCACGAGGAGACTCCACAGGAAATTCTGCAGGATCAAGAAATGACAGCTGTAAACTCGGAGCACTCTTCTGATGAGGACGCCTCATCGGTCCATCATGCAGGCCCAGTGGAATCTACGAAGGTCACCTCCAAGAAACCAACCCCTAGAAAATTCGTCGAAGATGAAAAGAGAGAGGAAGGAGCAGTCAAGACCGCTGTTTATATGACTTATATCAATACTAGTGGTGGATTACGTTTCTGGGGTGTGGTCCTTATCGCCTTCGCTTGTGCTCAAGCTATGGTCACTGGTAAGTTTGTCTTCCCAATTACGCCAAATGCACAAACACTGATAGCATAGCTCGAACATGGTGGCTTCGTATCTGGACTCATGACAGTCAGCGTACGAGCTCGATTCATACCTTTGCCTACACTCTTCAACTACCCGATCTTGCCCCCGCGCCCACAAGCAATACGGCTGTCAAAATGGAACAATCTCCTCATAGTCTTGGATTCTACTTGGGAATCTATGTTGCCTTGTCGATTGTAAACGCCATCGTCGGTACATTCAAATATTGGTACGTCTTTACAGGATCGCTTCGTGCGTCTCGTCAGCTCTTCGATAGAATGTGTTTTACCATCTTGACGACACCCATGAGATTCATGGATACCGTCCCCATGGGAAGAATTATCAATCGCTTTACGACAGACTTTCAGGTTGTTGACTCACGACTCGGGCTGGAGATGAACTTTTGTGCTCATAACACTTTCTTGCTCCTCGGTATCATGGTTGCTGGGTAAGTGATATGAAAAGAAATCTTTTGCTGTTGAATATGTGCTTCTTTCTAACATACTACAGTTGCCTCGTTTCTCCATGGGTTATTCTCCTGTCACTACTCCTTATGGGTGTGTGCATCTATATAGCAATTGTCTACATCAAAGCAGCCCGAGAAGTCAAACGCCTTGAATCAATCGCCAGATCGCCGGTTCTTGATCAACTCGGTAGCGCTATCGCGGGTGTCGGTACCATTCGAGCTTTCGACAAGGCAGATACATACATCACACGAATGTTCGCCAAGATTGACGCTCATACAGAAGCATTCTGGCACCTCTGGGTCTTCAATCGTTGGATGGGTTGGCGCATGTCGTTCGTTAGTGGACTTTTCTCAAGCTTTATCTGTGTCGTTGTTCTTCTCTCAAAGGACATTGATGCCAGTCTTGCAGGTTTTGCGTTGAGTTTTTCAATACAATATTCGTTGACTGTCTTTTGGGCTATCCGACACTACACCAATGTAGAACTACACATGAACGCCGCAGAACGTATCGTCGAATACTCCAACCTCCCAACCGAATCACGCCAAGGCATCAAGCCCCCTGCTCACTGGCCAGCCGAAGGAGTCCTCGAAGTCAACGACCTTGTAATCGGCTATGCTCCTGATCTCGATCCCGTCCTTAATGGTGTCACCTTCCGCATCGAGCGCAACGAACGAGTCGGAGTCGTAGGCCGTACGGGCGCAGGCAAATCCTCTCTGACACTAGCACTCTTCCGCTTCCTTGAAGCTCGTTCAGGCTCCATCCACATCGACGGTATCGACATCTCGCGACTCAGACTCTACAATCTGCGAAAGGCACTGACCATCATTCCCCAGGATCCGGTTTTATTTTCGGGCACCATTCGTAGCAATCTCGACCCGTTCAACAGATACAGAGATGGCGCACTCAACGATGCTCTCCTTCGCGTCCACTTGGTAGAATCCTCCCTCGTTGCCAGCTTGGCAGAGGTATTCTCACTCAGTGACTCGGACCAAAGCAACAAGAACGTCAACCCCTTCACAGACCTCTCATCACCCATCACGGAGGGCGGCCTCAATCTCTCACAGGGACAACGACAACTCCTCTGTCTGGCCCGCGCTATCATTTCCCGACCCAAAATCATGGTCCTGGATGAAGCTACCTCTGCTGTGGACATGGAAACCGATGCACTAATCCAACGTAGTATCAGAGAGGAGTTCACGAGAAGCACGTTGTTGGTTATTGCCCATCGACTTATCACGATTGTGGATTTCGATAAGATTCTTGTCTTGGATGCGGGTAAGGTCGTGGAGTTTGGTAAGCCGAAGGAGTTGATGGAGATTGAAGGTGGAGTTTTCCGTGGGATGGTGGAGGAGAGTGGGGAGAGAGTTAAGTTGGAGGCTGTGATCAACGGTCAGGGAGCAAGAGCTAAGGCTGGTGCTTTTAAGTGATCATCGACTCCATTACCAGGACGGATAAATCAACATGAAGGCGTTTAATGACAGGGCTTTTTCTTCTTTTCTATTGTTCACTAGGGATTGAAAGAACGAATAGGACTTTCTAGATGTAGTAGAATAATGAATAGGAATTGAAATGGATTCAAACCCAACGCTTTTGAACACCTTATATTGCTCTGTGTACGTCAATCAAGACGATGTTCACCCAGACTCGGTCGCATAATCAGGTTCGTTTTGGAAACGGGTTGGTATAATGGGATTCTGCCACTTGCTATTGGTCTAAGTGTTCTGGATGGTTCTCGCTGGGCGAACGGTTTAGGTTAAATAAGTTCGATAACTTTTCATTCACTCAAATGTTCTAGGATAATTAAGGAGGATTGTTCCGAGACTTCTGGCATGATCATTTTGATGATGTAAGGAGTTTAGAAGACCAGATTTCGTTTACAGTATGTGCCGATTGGGTTTCATTGAACCTTTCATTTTCCCCAGATAATCGGGCAACGATATTTAAGCTGGGTATTCTAGCAATTCTTGGGACACTTCTTGCGCGAGATGTAATCTTACATCCTGAAAGATACTTGCAGGACCACTGATTCACATTTCACCCTCTGGGAATACCCAATAATAGAAACAAATATGTAACTATTTATCTCCTACCCTACCTTCTATTCAAAGATACAATCTCGGATTCCCCCTTTCTTCGTCTCCGCCCTGGCGTATACTTCAGAACCAAGAAACCCAACGAGGCGGTAAGATTGGCCAGATTAAGGATTGTATTTTCCACTACCATAACTAATTGGAGATGAGTAACGTAAAGAAGAAACCAAGAAACTCAGTCGGAGTCAGGACTTAAGGGAAATACACATCAAAATCCATTCCGAGAATCAAAAAGAGCTGCACGCAAAACGAGAACATCTTATGTATATGGGCATCCGAACCTTTCTTTGAGCCACTACCCGTCGCCGGAGCAGAAGTTGAAGATTTTGGATAGGGTTGATCTCAACGCCAAACCTGATTCAGAGAGCGAGGTTGGTGTTGAGAGTTGGGCGTTGCTGTGGTATTGCGCCTGCGGTTAGCCCCAGGACCGAGGATTGAGATGTAAAGACACTAAAGGATAGTTGAGTTCATAGCTCCCTGTTTTATCTCACTGGTATTACGAGTACAAGGTCGGAGACGAAGGGTGTCCCAATCAATGGAAAGTTATACATACTTAGAAGAGGTGTGGTGGATTTGTTTTCGTGGCTTCGTTGGTTTTTTCCTACTCCAAAGGCAGCCGACTTATGTCACTAGGTAAGACTAAGACGCGAGAGGGCTACCACTAAATAAATAGGAACGTCTTAAAATAGCTTCTATTCTAGTCGTGGAGATCTGCATAGCGTTGTAGGCTCATCGTTGGGTTTATTTTCTAGTAAACGGTGTAAGATTACTTTAGGTTAACCAAAGACCAACTGTTATATCAATAAAGATAACGAATAAATCGCAGTCGAAGACCTATCATATAGTACGAGCTGGAGGAGAAATCCATTGTGCGGTCGAATTGACTTAATATTCCACTAGTCGATTTAAGGGTTAAATTAGCACACAAAGTAGGACACACGGAGAAAAATCACAATCAGCAAGAAACAGGACGCTCTGTAATCATGGAGTGGTATTTTAGCTTTTGTTAATCTGCTTAACACCGCACCCGGCTCATTAAACCCATGATTACTCGCCGAAGCCAGTCCAGCTAATGGTTTTGAACAGTGCCACAGGTCTCTTACATCAAGCCAAAATTTAGCAATTGATCTGACAATGGCGAGATCTTCCCCTCGAACAGGTTTCATAGCCCTTGCGGATTACTCCTTCGTCTTTGGACTTGCGACAGAGCGGAAGCTATTCTCGATGCTCGCCGAATTCCCGCAACTAAGTCCTCGTCGTTCATCTTCATTCCCCTCTCTATCTCTTCCTCCCATGTCGGAGAAGGACTCCTCAAAGGCGCTAAATTTCTCAGAGGGGCACTTTGTGCCGCCAAGTTTCCATTACTTCCCGCCATTGCTTCGCGGGGTCCTTCTCGATAGTTAGTTGGATGTTGCAATGCCCCGGTGACCGAGAACATACCATTGTAAAACGAACACCGACTACCATATCCGTACAGGGCACAATTACAGCAACTACCCTCAAAAAATCCCTCGACAACGACACACTCTTGGAATGAACTTGCAGGTCGAGTGCCAGCACAATGAGTGCATGTGATTTGAGCCACGGTTCCCCGTTCATACCCCAGCAGAGCTTCATAGTTACAACTCTGACTGGTGTTTGGAGGCTTTCTGTTTTTCCAATACTGTACCTCACGAACTCGCGGTAGAGCTAGTAGACCTTCCATCGTCTTGGTCATCTGGGTAGGAAAAGATGGTTGTGGAGGATTATTTTGAGGCGGTGCTGTAGGAAGGCCGTCGTGACTAGTTTGGGTTTGCAAAGGTCGATTGAAGGAGAATTCATTGCTCGGAAAAGGATTTTGTTGGTATCCATTCGTTTGTGTTTGGTAAGTCGTTTGGGCTTTACGGGGTGGGTTTGCAGTTGGGTGGTCGTTGAAGTGTTTTCCCTTGGTGCTTGGCATGCCATGGTTGTGAGTACATTGACCCCCTTTCGCCTGCACGCCGTTGATGTGAGTGAGTGTCCATTGTCCATTGGCCTTTTCTGTGGCCTTGATCCGGACGGGGCATTGTATTCTGAATCTCTTGGAGCGATCATGGTCGTGGTACGTGTGATAGTTACAGACTAAGAATTTTCGCCAGCGATACCCCCTTGCCTTGGACTTTTCTGAGCCGGAGCCCTGCTTGAGAGAGTATCCCGCAAGACGAGCATGGGTTGAAGCTGACCTCAACAACTCCTCCCATGAGTCGAATATGGCCGGTGGGGGTAGTGACAAAGGTTCAATCGCTGCTGGATGAGAGGGCTCAATTCTCACGGAGAGCTCTGGTTCTGGTTTTGGTTCGGGCTCTGGCTCTGGCTCCGGCTCCGGGGTGGTGGACATAGGGGCATTGTCAGAGGGGGAGGGAGAGGGCGACGGCGAGGGTGGTAGAGGACTGGGCGACCTCAAAGGACTGGGTGATCTCAATTCCATGGTGGTAGATTTATCTGACATACTCCGTAGTACTTAGATCAAGTTCGTGTGAGGGTGACAACGTCTGGCGTGAGAGAAAATCATTGAGGGCCAAGGATCCCCACTCAAAGTGAGGGGGCGTGAGGGGGTATCGGACAAAATCGGGCCACAATTGGAAGAATTTCCTAGGGTGCAGCTTTGGGGTCAAGACAACAGGACAGACCCTTCGTAAGCGACGAAGCGACGTCAATAGGCGACTGCAGAGATAGAAACTAATAAACGCATAGGTGCAGGCGCATATAAAATGTAATTGTACCTGAAACCAGAACGACGCGTGGGTCTACACGAAAAAGCGTGACGGGTGCGGGCGACCGAGGGACAAGACTAAAATCCGGGCCGAGATGAATCACGTGAATCTTACCCCGGGCACCAAGAGCCGGTCGGAGTGAGCAGCGGGGTCGGTGCTGGTATCGGAGACCGGGTCATGGTTAGGGGCAGGGCAGGGCAGGGTCAGCGAAATATGATGGCAATGCACACAGTTCCAATGCAACAACCTGTCTGAGCCTGTCTGTTTTTCTGCTGTGCTCCCGTCAAGCTCTTCCACCATCTCTCACAGATCTTGTACGCCCTCCATCCCCACCGCAAGTCCATTCTCTGGTAGGTTTGCCCATGACGACGAGGCCCTCTGTCGGTGAAAGTGCACCATGGAAATGGCATGGAAATGGGGCTTTGCCAAGGGACACTATTCACGCCCAATGAAAACCCTTCACTCAAGTTCTCATGGAAGGTGGGCAATGGGTGGCGGGTGGTGGGCTGCGTCGATTTGGAAGGGTTTGCGTGGGCGGCGAACCCCAGATCCAACATGCAAGCGAAATATACGAGAGTGAAGATCCTCCTCAGCTTATCTCTCTCCTCTCTTTAACTTTCTCTTCCCCTCTCCCTCTCCCCCTCCCTCTCCCACGAAAGCTAAGCTGCATTGTTTTCTTAAATCAACAATCGCACCGAAGTCAAGGGCTTCCACTCTCATTCTCTCTCCCCTTTGTCTCTTCTTCCCCAACAATTCTGTCCCACAAGCTGCTCTTGTGAGCATCTCCCCATTCACCGCAGCACACGGCACGCAGCACGCAGCACCAGCACCATGGCACAAGATGCGGATGTGTCCCACAGCATCACGATGCACCCTCATCCCTTCCTCCATTTAGACCAGCCAGATCGGCCAGATAGCTCCAGGTCGAGGAATCATACCCCCGTCCACCAGCTCCAGTCCGCTCCTTCCAACCCTCCTCCTGGCGCAAGCACCACCGCTGTGGAAGTCACCTCGGCAGAGAAACACGATCCAGTCTCAAGAACCGCAGCTGGTATGACCGACCTGGAGGAACAGAAACCCCCTCGATATACCCGCGAGAACGACCCTTACAAGCTGGCCTCCGCCTTCAAAAACGAGGATGATCTACGTTTAATTGCAGCCAACACCTCGCGCAAGCGGGATGGCTGCGGGCCTATAAAGTTCAGCAAGGATGCATCCAAAGCAAAGAAGATACAGAAGTTCTACGAGAACCAGAATGAGAAGATTGAGCGAATGCTGAAGCCGGTCGAGGACCATGTGGAAGACGCCCGACAAGAAGCTGGTGACGACCATCTCAAGTTCCAGATTGCCGTCTATGGCTCTTTCATCGCAAACATTGTCTTGGCCGGTCTCCAGCTTTATGGTGCTGTATCTTCTGGGTCTCTCTCGCTTTTTACTACAATGGCCGAGTAAGGAAACCCCAATCTGTATTCCTGATTTGACATACCATGCCCGGCATTTTATACATCCAACGACTGACTTGATATTAGTTCTATCTTCGACCCTCTGTCCAATATTACTTTAATTGCCGCAAACCGCGCTGTCAAGCGTGTTGACCCCAACCGATTCCCTTCTGGAAAAGCCCGCCTCGAGACCGTCGGTAACATTGTATTCTGCTTCCTCATGATTGCCGTATCATTTATCTTGATCGCCTTCTCCATAAAGGAACTCGTAGATGGGAATGCTGGTGAGACTAATGGTTTCCATTACCCTTCGGTCATTGCAGTCGGGGTTGCTTTTGCTACCAAATTCTCTCTTTTCTTGTATTGCTGGGCTTTGAAAGACAAATACTCCCAAATCGATATTCTCTGGCAAGACCACAGGAACGATCTTTTCATCAACGGTTTCGGTATCCTCACATCTGTTGGTGGTTCCAAAATCAAATGGTGGATCGATCCCATGGGAGCCATTATCCTTTCTTGCCTCATCTCTGGTATCTGGTTGCACACCGCATTTGAGGAATTTCTCCTTCTCGTGGGTGTCCAGGCTCCGGTTGAAACACAACAGCATATCACTTATGTTTGCCTTACCCACTCCCCTGAGATTGAAGGCATTGATACTGTGCGAGCATATTACAGTGGTCCACGTATGATTGTCGAGGTCGATGTGGTCATGAATCCGGAGCGCAGCTTAAGAGAGACCCATGATATTGCAGAGGAATTGCAAATTAAACTGGAAAGCTTGCCACGTGTGGAGAGAGCTTATGTTCATGTGGATTATGAGACAACTCATAAGCCAGAGCACGCTTTGAAGAAGGAACTCTAGGTTTCCGGAAATTCTTAGTATTTATTCTGTTTCGCTTGGTAGGCGAGGCTGTGTCTAGGCAGCACGCAGAAGCACACAGAGTCTCTGCTTTCTTTGTTGATAGATAGTAGGGGGTAAAGGCTGGTCATTAAACTGAGAAGTTCCTACGTAGTACATAATTCTTCGATACCTAACAAAAGTTTGCTTCTCCCGTCTAATTATCATGGCAGTCTATTCTCCCGTCCTGTTATGTCATTTGTCTATGTATTCTTCGAACGTATTGAAAGCGGCACGCGAGTCAGTGCCTTGATGGGATTCGAAGGATCTCACTCTTACAAAAAAAAATTGTCTAGAACAATTGTTGCCAGTCTTGACATCCTGTAGCCATTTGTTGGGGCTACAGCGATCGCTTATCTACTTACACTCTCTAGTAAAGTTCACATGAATCACTAAGCAGAGACAGTCGTTTTGGCCCGGAAGAATATGGCGTGGTTACCAATCTAATCCTCCTCTCTTCCCCACCTCCACCTCGGGGATCTGGTTTTGAGGGGAATATTCTGTATTCATAGGGAGGGTAAGAAGGGGGTGGTGCCTTCCTTCGCCTTCCTTTCCAATCTTGGCGTTGCGTAGCGCGATGAACTCAAGGTAAGTTAGGGCGAGCCATGGCTACGAGGGAAGGAGCGGACTTGACCTCAAACTCATTTGGTCGTATTGGGAACTTGAGGATAAATCTCAGGTGATGGACGCCGTGAAGATATTGATGTACACTTACCGTAAACATGGACTCTAGAACCCGAAGTGGCTGGTTGCGTTTATATGATATCTGGTAAGGCTACCACGTACGGTTAGGATCCAGAGGGTTGGAATTTTTGTCTCTTTCAGTTCTTATGTATTGATCTTCTACAATAACGATAATCAAGAACTGGCCTGGGATAGTAAAGAAAAAGTTACACGAACAACCAATGCGATACATTGTAGTATTGTTTCTCAATGGATCTTTTTGTTCTTTCAAGTAGGTATACGAATCACAAAAATACCATCGTTCTCGCTTAGAACAGAACGCCCAGCAAAGGAAACACGAGGATCACAGCCTCTGGGTGTTGGTCCTTCGTCATCACTTGGACAGCCATCCCAGTATCGCCTCATGAAAGGTATTAGGATCCTGAATCTGAGGAGCATGTCCCAGCTCAGCAAACTCGACCAAAGTACAATTTGGTATCCTTGCCGATACCTGCTTTCCCAGGACTTCATAATGTCCCAGCAGCGGTTTCACATCCGCTGGTGCCCACGCCTTCCCAATGGCCGTGTTATCTTTATCCCCAATAACAAGCAAGCTTCTCATCTTCAGGTTTGGCAACTCTGCGATGACTGGTTGCGTAAAGACCATATCTGTTACCAGCGCCTGATCATAGGCAAACTCCGTGCCTCGGGAGCCTTTGTATACACTGAGTAGCATGTTGGCCCAGATATCATACGACGGATCCCAAGTCCCGGCATAATAAGTTGCTTGTTGATAGCTCTTGATGCTCGAAAATGAAGTGCTTAACTCGGTCTGGTAAGTGATGTCGATGGCTTGATATGGGACTCCCAACGCAAACCAGTTCTCGAGACCAAGCGGATTTACCATCACGAGGCGATTCGTCTGAGAGGGAAACATGAGCGCGTACCGCGCGGACAACATTCCTCCCATTGAATGGCCTATGATAGTCGCATTGAAAATTCCCAGTGAGTGAAGGAGGCTGTTTGTGTTCAGTGCAAGCTGGGAAAGTGAGAATTGATATGTAGTGGGTTTCGAAGATTTGCAGAAGCCAATCTGGTCCGGCGCAATGACACGATAGCCAGAAGTGAGAAGGACATCGATTGTTTGGTTCCAGGTCGCCCCACAGAAGTTCTTTCCGTGCAAGAGGACGATGGTTTCTTTAGGTTGAGCAACGGCGGGCGAGATATCCATGTATGCCATTGATAATTGCGATAATGGGTTTTGTTGAGATGCGACATTGAAAAATTGCACGGGGTATGGATAGTCGAAAACAAGCCCTCCTGTGTCATTTGATACTGTCGCTGTAGCACCCACAAGAGAGTTCAGCAAAGCAAGGAGGAAGAAGGTTTGTGAAGGGCTTTTCATGATGAGGCGCGAATGGTATATCAGTGTCGAAATACACGTATATCGATATTACAAAAAGATATACATTATTTCAGATCGCTGTGACTTTCATTTATTTATATTACAAATCAGAAGCACTAGATTTATCCGGCACTTTATCCAGGAATTATCCTACTAGTCGAGGCGAAGCGAAGCGTAGGGGGAGGGGTACCGGCTAATTATAGTCTACCTCTATTACGTATAAGAGACAACTTCGTTATATTTAGGGGTATTATATACTTGTTAGGGTATTACTAGGAGCGTACAAGGACTGTTCTAAAATAAGGTTAAAATTAATTATAAGTCTTCTAAGAAGTCCTAGAGCTTGTCACGGATGCCAACAAAGGATAAAGTGTATACAGCTTTTGAATCAATTGCTAGAACTAAAACCGTAGGTACGAAGAAATCAAACTAAAGAGAGAAGAGAATCTGAAAGGAGCGAAGTTATTTAAGTTGTTCCAATGCCAAGTCTCGTCACGTGCTTGGCCAAGCGAATGAAATCCTGTCAAATGAAATCCAGCTCCGTCACAGAGCTAGCTATTGTTTATATATAATAAGAGGCTACGCTATTCCCTATCGGGAAGCTCTATACTAGCCTTAAATAGGTAACTCTATCCCTACTATTATATGTACTAAGCGAAGTATTAAAAATACTATACCGAGCTATATTCACCCCTATAAGAACCCTTATAATACTAGGTAATATACAAATACTAACGTTTACTTATTAGACTACCTCGAGTATAATTTTTATTTCCTATTATTATACTAACTTTCTAAGCTCTATTAAAGTATAAGAAGAGCTTCCTAAAGACCTTAAAAGTATATATAGGAATAATAAGCCTATATATCTTTTTAATAAGCTATAAAACTAAATAATAATAGTTAGTATATCTCTTAATAGTTACTACGTCTTCCTATAATACTATTATTACTAATAGTTAGGTAAAGTAAGTATTATATAGAAGTAAGTATCGCGTCTTACTTAGAGTTCTTCTATTTAAGTTAGTTTTAAGCTATCCCTTTATATAAAATATATATAATACTAAGGCTTAGCTCTAACGTTAGGTCTCGAACGCGTATATCTTCTACTACTACTACTACTACTACTACTACTCCTTCTTTCTTATATTCGATATACCCCGCGTAAGATAGAGGAAAAACGATCCTTTAATATAGAATAATAAGGTTAAAAAGAGCGCTAGAAAGTATATTAAAAGGCTCCTTAGATAACTACTAATAGTACTACTACGCCTACGTTATAATAGGCCTCTCGTGCCCTCTAATAAAGTACTAGTTTAATACTTAGTACGTTCTAATTAGGTATAGTAGCGCTACGGCTCGCTTAAAGCCTTATACTAAGCCTAGGCGCTATATATATTTCGTACGAAGAGATAGGCTTCTATATAGGCTTAAAAGAAAGCCTTCACTTATTTCTAGAGAAATATAATAAATAATCTAAATAGAAGTAAGTTATAGTATATTAATTTATTAGAAGGAACTATAAATACTAAAAGAAAGAGACTTTAAAGTTTATATTTTATAAGATATAAGTTATATATATTATATATATTATATTCTACGAAAATATAAGAAGTTAGATTACTAATAAACTTATTTATATTATATATAAATTATCTTTAAAAGTTTAACCCTTCTAGTATAAAATAATAGTTCATTATATTTATAATCTTATTTTATTTATATATTTTTCTAGCTAGTAGAAATGATACTATATATAATGATATTCTAAAGGTTTCTAAATAGTTTATATTTTAAATAATTTTAGTATATCTAAGACTAGATAAGCTTATAGGCTTACCTTTACTCTTTTATTACGTTTAATAGTTTCTTTATAAGTTAATTTAATATATAACTTTATATATTTATTAATTTATTATTAAGGAACTAGGTTATAAGTATACCTCGCTAGCTTTTAAGTAAATATCTTAGGTAAGGTTTTATACTTTAATCATAATAATTTATATAATAAAAACTTAAATACTAAGGAAAAAAATATACTTTACTACTATACTATAGAGAAGTTAACTATAGGTCGAACTATAATTAAAATAAACTTCGATTTTATTCAAATTATAGTCTAAATAAAAGTTTAACTATAAGTTAGTTAAGTATAGGTTAGATAATAATTTAGTATACCTCTAACTATAGTCGAAATATATTTAAATAAAGCTAAATAAGGTAGACTCTAGTTAGAATATATCTAAACTCTATATTAGATTATACTTTAAAGCTTTTTTAACTCTAAGTTAAACTATATATTAGACTATATTCTAAATATATATAACCCTAGGATAACTATTTAATAGTTTAAATATAATTAAAGATTAAACCTATACTAAATTAAGTTTAGAACTATTTTAACTATACTCTAAGTTACTTTCGATTATAATTCTACAATGTTTTAAATATACGCTAATAGTATATAGATATCTATTTAATATAGTTCTACGTATACGCTAATAGTATATAGATATCTCTTTAATATAATTTTATATAACTTATACGTTAATAGTATATAGATATCTATTCAATATAGTTTTACATATACGCTAACCTAAGTAAGTATATAGATATCTCTTTAGTATAAGCTAAGTACTAAGTATATACTATAATTATCGAGTAAGTAATTAGATCCTATTACTTAAGCTATAACACTAGTAACTACTAAGTACTAGTAACCTACTAAGTACTAGTAACCTACTAAGTACTAGTAACCTACTAAGTTATTTAATTCCGCCTTTTAAGCTTCTATTACGTTGTAATCGTACTAAGTTACCGAAGCTATTATACTAAGTCCTTAAAAGCTACCGGCTAATATCTATATTTTTTATTTAAATCTAACTAACTTATATATTCTTTATTTAGTCTCTAACTAATTTCCTATAAGCTATATATAGTAAAATCTATCTCGTTAGCTAAGGCTTATATTTAAGAGGAATAAAGGATAGTATATATAAGTAGGAATTCGAATTTTCGAGGTATATAAACTAAAGGGATTCAAGAGTAAGAGAATTAAAGAAGGTTAACTGAGGATTTTTATTAGAGGATATCTATTAAAACCCTATTAGTATATATGTAAGGCTAAAAAATTAAGTCTAATACTTTTCAGGATTTAATAATACTATAATAAAATTAAGAAAATATACTTCTTTTATACTATACTTAAGAATTTTAAATAACCTATACTAAAATAGTCTAGAAGTAGAGTAGGTTCACTAGTACTAGACCCCCTTTTTGTTCTTTACCTACTAAGATTCCTAAGTATATATATATTACTTCCTTCTTTTAAATATTTACTTATTCTTCTTTATCTATTCGCTAATATTACTTAACTATAACTTATACCTACTATTATATACTAGGTACTTATCGCCGTACCCTAACTTCTCCCTACGTCTATAGTTTTATAGTATTATAATATAGTATTCTAGTATTATAGTATAATAACCTTACTATTACTCCCTTATTAGTATACTATTACTATTACTTTTTAGGTATGGTTATAATCGCTAGGATTTATAAAGCTTAGAAGCTTTACTATCTTACTTACTATTACTTAGTATTTATAAGTATTAACCTTATTATTATATACTTATTATTACACCCTTACTAATATATAGTATTAGTATTAGTATAACCTTATAGCTACCTACCTTATAATTAGTAGAGTTTACTAGCTTACTAACGCTTATTATATATAGCTATCGTAGCTATTATGTCTAGTAATATACTTATCGTTTTAGTTACTCTACTATAATATAGTCTCGCTATTACTTAGTAATCCTTAGTAATAGACTTAACCGACCCTTTGTTAGGGTATTACTAGGAGCGTACAGAAGACTATTCTAGAATATGGTTGAGATTAATCGCGAGTTAGCTAAGAAGTCCTAGAGCTAACTATTACTTATACACAGCAAGAGGCCACGCTATTCCCCATTAGGCAGCTCCATACTATCTCCGATTAGGCAACTCCAGCCCATTATTGCATTCACTAAGCGAAGCACCAAAACACTATACCGAGCCACATTCACGCCCTTACACCCTTACTAGCGCTAATACGATTTAGATTCTACTAACTATAAATGGTATAATCAACGGCCGTAGATATAGCTATAACTAAACTAATAAAGGAATATAATAACTACGTTTATATTCTTAAGGATAGAATTAAAGACTACGAGTCCTAGTATTAGATCTAAATATAGTAATATTACTACCTTTAATAGAAGGAGGATAAAGGTACTAGTAGAAGTAGGTTTGGAGAATATATATTAGTATAATAAAAATAAAATAAAACGTTAATAGTAATATTCTAGTCTCCTACCTTTCTATTTCCTATACTTATTAAATTTATACTAAAAAGTTAGAAATAGTATACCTAACCTTTACCTATACTTATATAAAATATAAGCTTAGTAATAATTTTAAAGTAAATAATTTAGCTTCTATAAAACCTATTATAGGTTACTAAGAGAGGGTAGTAGAATATATATAAGTCTTATACAAAATCGAGCTACTAATTATATAATATAAAGAAGGCTTTCCTAGCGTTCTCCTCTAGCTCCTCCTAGGGTTCTATTTTTTAGTACTAGTAGAACCTACTTCTTACCTTTAGTAATATATTAGAGTCTAATAATTTTAATATTATTTATTAATAAAAATATCTATAAATCTAGACTTACTTTCTATTTATATATTAGTTCTGACTTATTTAGTATAAAGAAAAGATATAGTCGGTTCTAGAACCTAATAACTATTACTTACTTAATATAATAGATAATTAATTATAGTTTATATAATTACCTACTTTAAAAGTCTATCTTTTTCATTAATATATAAAAGACGTATATTAATACTATTATATATAGTTAAACTAAATAAATCGAAATATATTATAAATTCTATAGTTTTTACGAAAACCCTAAAATAACTTCTTCTTAAATATATAATTAAGCAAT